AGAGGAATACCGGCCATTACTTTATCATTTTTCCTTACAACTTCCTTTTCAGTGCCTATAAATACAGAAAGTAAAATCATTCCTCTCTCTATAAGACTACATCACATTTATCTTTAGGTAATAAATCCTTCTAACTCTCAAAACTCTCAGAGATCATATCATTTTATTTTATTTATTTATACCCTACCTTTCTCCCCACAGGGCAGGCCTGAGCCAACCTTTGGGCCTGCAGGTGTTTTGGACTTCAACTCCCACAATTCCTAACAGCAAGTAGGCTGTTAGGAATTGTGGGAGTTGAAGTCCAAAACACCTGGAGGAAGGGCCAAAGTTTGCCCATGCCTGATCTAAAGCTATCAACGCTCACTGCTTTCTTTACCAGGCTCTTAAAAATAATTCCAGTGGAAGAAATGTGACAATGGAAGGTCACAGAGCATAACTAATATACGTAAGTTATAAATATATGCATATGCTATGAATAAATATATGCGTAAATATAGACAGACCTTGAAACCTCTTCCTGTTCTATAACTTTATGAATTGCTAATTTATACCTGAAGGCTGGCTGCCTAAGACACCAAATACCTTCTGCTCCTGTTTTCCAGTGCCTATCATCTGATTTTGCCCCTGGCCCTTATGCCTTGGGACGAAGGGCACTGCACTCCAATCTGTCTTAAGAGCTCTGTGTGGAAGGCAGGAAAAGAGGTTGCTTTAGCTCAGTGTTTCTCAACCTGGGGGTCGGGACCCCTGAAGGGGTCGCGAAGGGGTGTCGGAGGGGTCGCCAAAGACCATCAGAAAACACAGTATTTTCTGATGGTCATGGGGATTCCATTAGGGAAGTTTGAGCCAATTCTATTGTTGGTGGAGTTCAGAATGTTCTTTGATTGTAATGAACTATAAATCCCAGCAACTACAACTCCCAAAAGTCAAGGTCTATTTTCCCCAGGCTCCACCAGTGTTCACATTTGCGCATATTGAGTATTTGTGCCAAGTTTGGTCCAGATCCACCATTGTGTGAGTCCACAGTGCTCTCTGGATATAGGTGAACTACAACTCCCAAACTCAAGGTCAATACCCACCAAACCCTTCCAGTGTTTTCTTGGTCATGGGAGTTCTGTGTGCCAAGTTTGGTTCAATTCCATCCTTGGTGGAGTTCAGAATGCTCTTTGATTATAGGTGAACTATAAATCTCAGCAACTACAACTCCCAAATGACAAAATCAATCCCACCCAACTCCACCAGCATTTACATATGGGTTCATTGGGTATTTGTGCCCAGTTTGGTCCAGTGAATGAAAATACATCTTGCATATCTGATATTTACATTATGATTTATAACAGTAGTAAAATGACTGTTATGAAGTCGCAACAAAAACAATGTTATGGTTGGGGGTCACCACAACGTGAGGGACTGTATTAAGGGGTCACGGCATTAGGAAGGTTGAGAACCACTGATATAGACAGACCTTAAAACTTCTTCCTGTTCTGTGACTTCATGAATTGCTAATTTATACCTGACAGCTGGGCAGTGATCATTATTTCTGCAAAAGACTGACATTTCCATGCCTGGATTGCTGTGAGTTTTCCGGGCTGCATGGCCATGTTCCAGAAGCATTCTTTCCTAACGTTTTGCCCATATCTCTGGCAGGCTTCTCTGAGGTTGTGAGGATGGCTGCTATAGATGTGGGCGAAATGTCAGGAGAGAATGCTTCTGGAACATGACCATACAGCCTGGAAAACTCACAGCAACCCAGTGAATCTGGCCATGAAAGTCTTCGACTGTCTATGCCTTCTTGCCAACAGTCTCCAGTGTGTCAGTGAGAAGCAGCATCCTTCTTTATTTATGTATTTCTTTACAACATTTATATGCCGCCCTTTTCACCCCGAAGGGGACTTAGAGCGGCTTACAAGATATATATACATACAATATATTATGTTATTATCATAGTACAATATCAGTATTAAATATTACTAGATTGTACTATACAATTATATTGTAATATTATTAGTAATACTACAAGTAATATAAATATACAATTATAATATCATATTATTAATAATATTATTAATATTATATGTATATACAATATATTATATTACATTAATAGCTCAATAATAGTCAATAGCTCTACTGGCTGTTGGGAATGCTGGGAGTTGAAGTCCAAATCACCTGGAGGGGCCAAGTTGGCCCAGGCCTGCCATATTGGGATTCATTTGCCTTATATCCACCTTTATCTTTCGTCTCATAGAATCATAGAGTTTGAAGAGACCTCATGGGCCATCCAGTCCAACCCCCTGCCAGGAAGCAGGAATATTGCATTCAAATCACCCCTGACAGAGGTCCATCCAGCCTGTTTAAAACCTTCCAAAAAAGGAGCCTCCACCACACTCTGGGGCAGAGAGTTCCACTGCTGAACGGCTCTCACAGTCAGGAAGTTCTTCCTCATGTTCAGGTGGAACATTAGGCCATTGTTCCATTGCGTCGTAGTCTCCAGGGAAGTAGAAAACAAGCTTGCTTCCTCCTCCCTGTGGCTTCCTCTCACGTATTTATACATGGCTATCACATCTCCCTCCAGCGAAGGATCACCGCCTTGTCATGGCACTGGAGCTTGAGCACCTCAATGATGTCATGAGCGAAACCGTGAAGGGCCACCCAAGACCCGTGGCCAAGTGTGATCCCTGGGGAAGGCAATGGCAAACCACCCCAAGAATGATTGACAACTGGGAAATAGAGGGAGAAAATGTGGAGGCCGTGACAGACTTTGTATTTCTAGGTGCAAAGATTACTGCAGATGCAGACTGTGGCCAGGCAATCAGAAGACGCTTACTTCTTGGGAGGAGAGCAATGTCCAATATCGATAAAATAGTGAAGAGTAGAGACATCACACTGGCAACAAAGATCCGCATAGTCAAAGCCATGGTATTCCCTGTAGTAACCTACGGATGTGAGAGCTGGACCTTAGGGAAGGCTGAGCAAAGGAAGATCGATGCTTTTGAGCTGTGGTGTTGGAGGAAAGTTCTGAGAGTGCCTTGGACTGCGAGAAGATCCAACCAGTCCATCCTCCAGGAAATAAAGCCCGACTGCTCACTGGAGGGAAGGATACTAGAGACAAAGTTGAAGTACTTTGGCCACATCATGAGGAGACAGCAAAGCCTAGAGAAGACTATTATGCTGGGGAAAGTGGAAGGCAAAAGGAAGAGGGGCCGACCAAGGGCAAGATGGATGGATGGCATCCTTGAAGTGACTGGACTGACCTTGAAGGAGCTGGGGGTGGTGACGGCCGACAGGGAGCTCTGGCGTGGGCTGGTCCATGAGGTCACGAAGAGTCGGAGAGACTGAACGAATGAACAACAACATATTTAGAATTTTTTATACATGGCTATCATATCTCCTCTCAGCCTTCTCTCATGCCCAGCTCCTTAAGCCGCTCCTCATAGGGCTTGTTCTCCAGACCCTTGATCATTTGAGTCGCCCTCCTCTGGACACATTCCAGCTTGTCAATATCTCTCTTGAATTGTGGTGCCCAGAATTGGACACAATATTCCAGGTGTGGTCCAGAGATTAGAGCAGTAGCATGACTTCCCTGGATCTAGACACTATATTCCTACTGATGCAGGCCAAAATCCTGTTGGCTTTTTTTGCCACCGCATGACATTGTTGGCTCATGTTCACTTTCCTGTTCACGAGGACTCCCAAGATCTTTTCAACACGTACTGCTCTCGAGCCATGCGTCCCTCATTCTGTATCTTTGCATTTCAATTATTATATATAAGTGGAATATCTTGCATTTATCACTATTGAACTTCATTTTGTTAGTTTTGGCCCATCTCTCTAATCTGTTCAGATCATTTTGAATTCTGCTCCTGTCCTCTGGAGTATTGGCTATCCCTCCCAATTTGGTGTCATCTGCAAACTTGATGATCATGCCTTCTAAGCCCTTCATCTAAGTCATTAATAAAGATGTTGAACAGGACCGGGCCCAGGACGGAACCCTGCATGGCACTCCGCTCATCACTTCTTTCCAGGATGAAGAGGAAGCATTGGTGAGCACCCTCTGGGTTCGTCCATTTAACCAATTACAGATCCACCTCACCGTAGTTTTGCCTAGCCCACATTGGACTAGTTTCCTTGCCAGAAGGTCATGGGGGACCTTGTCGAAGGCCTTCCTGAAATCCAGACACGCTCCATCCACGGCATTCCCCGCATCTACCCAGCTTGTAACTCTATCGAAGAAAGAGATCAGATGAGTCTGGCATGACTTGTTTTTGATAAATCCATGTTGACTATTAGCGATGACTGCATTTGTTTCTAAGTGTTTGCAGACCACTTCCTTAACAATCTTTTCCAGAATCTTGCCCGGTATCGACGTGAGGCTGACCGGACGGTAGTTGTTTGGGTCATCCTTTTTTCCCTTCTTGAAGATTGGGAAGTAGTAGCCAATAATGAAAGAACCAAGATAGCGACATCTTCGGCCCATCCCCTGTTCGGATATCAGCCAGCATGCCAACGCCTTTAATCAAGAAATAGTTTCCTGAGATCTACAGAGATACTTGCAGGAACACCTCAGCAAGCGAGAGTCCAAAAGTGGCAGGCTCAAACCTGGAACCATGGCTCATACCAAATGAGAGACTTTTAGCTCCTATTGATGCTTGCCAGGTGGGAAAATACTCCCCAAAAGATCACTCTTAGCCAGGCTTCTATAAGGCAAGACAGGCCCTGTCCACACTGTCAATTTAACACAGCTCAAAGCTGGTTTCAAACTGCAGCAAGCAGGCCACAAACTCCCACAAAAGTGGGCAAAAGGAAGCCTGGCCCCTAGGGATGCCTCTGCTTAGCAAGCCTCTCCCTCAGAGCAGCAGCCCTTTCCCCGCCTCTTCTTACCGACTCATGGCCCTGCGAATGAGAAGAGGGGGATGCTTTTCACCGTTGCACAAAACATGTCCGTCCGCTCAGTTTTCCCCCCGGAAACGCGACCCCTCCCTTTTTGTTCCGTTCCTCCCTGTGGCCCCTCCCTTGGCAGCATGGCGACGAGCAGGCTGTTCACGTTAGTGCTGGTCCTGCAGCCACAGAGGGTCCTGCTGGGGATGAAGAAGCGCGGCTTCGGGGCCTGGCGCTGGAATGGCTTCGGAGGGAAGGTCCAGCCCGGGGAGACCATTGAGCAGGCGGCCAGGAGGTCAGCAGAAGGATCTGGGCCTGATTTACTTAGACAACTTTATTTATTTATTTATTTATTATTTATTTAGAGGCCTTCTCAAACTCGGCGAGGGACTCAGGTCGGTTTACAGCACATATCAAATACAATCATAGAATCATAGAGTTGGAAGAGACCTCATGGGCCATCCAGTCCAACCCCATTCTGCCAAGAAGCAGGAATATTGCATTCAAATCACCCCTGACAGATGGGCATCCAGCCCCTGTTTCAAAGCTTCCAAAGAAGGAGCCTCCACCACACTTCGGGGCAGAGAGTTCCACTGCTGAACGGCTCTCACAGTCAGGAAGTTCTTCCTCGTGTTCAGATGGAATCTCCTTTCTTGTAGTTTGAAGCCATTGTTTCATGTCCTAGTCTCCAGGGGAGCAGAAAACAAGCTTGCTCCCTCCTCCCTGTGACTTCCTCTCACATATTTATACATGGCTATCATATCTCCTCTCAGCCTTCTCTTCTTCAGGCTAAACATGCCCAGCTCCTTAAGCCGCTCCTCATAGGGCTTGTTCTCCAGACCACTGATCATTTTAGTCGCCCTCCTCTGGACACATTCCAGCTTGTCAATATCTCTCTTGAATTGTGGTGCCCAGAATTGGACACAATATTCCAGGTGTGGTCTAACCAAAGCAGAATAGAGGGGTAGCATCTTCCCTAGATCTAGACACTATGCTCCTATTGATGCAGGCCAAAATCCCATTGGCTTTTTTTGCCGCCACATCACATTGTTGGCTCATGTTTAACTTGTTGTCCACGAGGACTCCAAGATCTTTTTCACACGTACTGCTCTCGAGCCAGGCATTGTACCCCATTCTGTATCTTTGCATTTCGTTTTTCCTGCCAAAGTGGAGTATCTTGCATTTGTCACTGTTGAACTTCATTTTGTTAGTTTTGGCCCATCTCAAAAAGATCATTTTGAATACAAATCATTACATATTAAAATAGTACAACTCAGTACACTAAAAACATCATCATTACATCATTACAGTTTCCTACGCCAAATCGTCAATCCAGTCATAGTCATATTCATAGTCACAGTTCAGCATAATTCGTCACAGGGAAGGTTCTAGGTTCAGTCCTCAAATGCCACATTCCAGAGCCAGGTTTTTAGTGATTTCCTGAACGTCAGGAGGGAGGGGGCAGATCTAACCTCTAGTGGGAGGGAGTTCCAAAGCCGGGGAGCCACCACCGAGAAGGCCCTGTCTCTCGTCCCCACCAACTGTGATTGTGAGGGTGGTGGGACCGAGAGCAGGGCCCCCCGGAAGATCTTAATAGCCTTGATGGTTCATAGGGGAGAATCCGTTCGGACAGGTAAACTGGGCCAGAGTCGTTTAGGGCTTTATAGGTCAAAACCAGCACTTTGAATTGTGCTCGGAAGCTAATTCGGCAGCCAGTGGAGCTGGCGTAACAGAGGGGTCATATGGTCTCTGTACCCTGCTCCTGTTAGCAATCTGGCTGCCGCACGTTGGACTGATTGAAGCTTCCGGGCAGTCTTCAGAGGCAACCCCACGTAGAGAGCGTTGCAGTAGTCTAAACGGGATGTAACCAGAGCGTGGACTACCGTGGCCAAGTCAGACTTCCCAAGGTACAGGCGCAGCTGGCGCACAAGTTTTAATTGTGCAAAAGCTCCCCTGACCACCGCCGAGACCTTTTTGAAGCAATTTCAAGGCTATAGAGCCATGTTCTAGAGCAGTGGTTCTTAACCTTCCTAATGCCTTGACCCCTTAACACAGTTCCTCATGTTGTGGTGACCCCCAACCAGCAAATTATTTTCATGACAACTTCACAACTGTAATTTTGCTACTGTTATGAAACATAATGTAAATATCTGATATGCAGGATGTATTTTCATTCACTGGACCAAATTTGGCAAAAATACCCAATATACCCAAATTTGAACACTGGTGGGAGAGATTTGACAAGCTGGAATGTGTCCAGAGGAGGGCGACTAAAATGATCAAGGGTCTGGAGAACAAGCCGTATGAGGAGCGGCTTAAGGAGCTGGGCATGTTTAGCCTGAAGAAGAGAAGGCTAAACCTCTGTGTGAGAGAAGCCTTGTGTGAGAAAGCTTCAGTATGTAAAGGCTGCAGCGTGTAGTTGTTTATTTGTGTTATGGAAAACCTATTTCTGTTAGTCAGTGGGTCAAAGCTAGTGTTATCCTGAGAAGTGTAAGGTAAACCTCTGTGTGAGAGAAGCCTTATGTGAGAAAGCTCCAGTATGTGAAGACTGCTGCGTGTAGTTGTGTATTTGTTTATTTGTGTTATGGAAAACCTATTTCTGTTAAGCGACAGTGGCCCAAAGAGAAGGCTGAGAGGAGATACGATAGCCATGTATAAATATGTGAGAGGAAGCCACAGGGAGGAGGGAGCAAGCTTGTTTTCTGCTTCCTTGGAGACTAGGACGCGGAACAATGGCTTCAAACTACAAGAGAGGAGATTCCATCTGAAACTTAGGAATAACTTCCTGACTGTGGGAGTTGTTGAGCAGTGGAACTCTCTGCCCGAGAGCGTGGCGGAGGCTCCTTCTTTGGAGGCTTTGAAACAGAGGCTGGATGGCCATCTGTTGAGGGTGCTTTGAATGTAATCTTCCTGCTTCTTGGTAGAATGGGGTTGGACTGGATGGCCCATGAGGTCTCCTCCAATTAATACCCGATGTACCCAAATTTGAATGCTGGTGGGGTTGTAGTTGCTGGGATTTATAGTTAACCTACAATCAGATCGCATTCTGAACTCCACCAATGATGGAATTGAACCAAACTTGACACACAGAACTCCCATGACCAACAGATAATACTGGAAGGGTTTGGTGGACATTGACCTTGAGTTTTGGAGTTGTAGTGCACCTACATCCAGAGAGCACTGTGGATGTAGGTGCACTACTGAGCTGAGGAGCCTTCTAATCAAGGTGAAAGAAGAAAGTGCAAAAGCTGGGTTGCAGTTAAACATAAAAAAACCAAGATGATGGCAACCAGATTGATTGATAACTGGCAAATAGAGGGGGGAAACGTGGAGGCCGTGACAGACTTTGTATTTCTACAAAGATTACTGCAGACACAGACTGTAGCCAGGAAATCAAAGACGTTTCCTTTAGGACTGACTGCGTTCCCTCATCTCTCTTTGAAAAACACTAACCCAGTTGTATCCTACCTTGTTCATGCCCAGCAATATTTTTTAAATTTTAAATTATTACATTTGGAACGGTCATAGATTTTTAAATGCTTGTGTGTTACTGTTATTGTTGTTTATTTTTGTTTATGTGACTTATATTGTTTTGTATTGATTGTTTTTGTTATTTTACTGATGTACTGTGGGCTTGGCATCATGTAAGCCGCACAGAGTCCCTTGGGGAGATGGTGGCAAGGTATAAATAAAGATTATTATTATTATTTTTATTATAATTGGGAGGAGAGCAAGGATCAATCTCAATAAAATAGTGAAGAGTAGAGGCATCACATTGGCAACCAAGATCCGCATAGATAAAGCAATAGTAACCTATGGATGCAAGAGCTGGAAACTGCAAGTCGCTTCTGGTGTGAGAGAATTGGCCATCTGCAAAGACATTGCTCAGGGGATGCCCAGATGTTTTGATGTTGTTATTTTACAAACCGTGGGTACTCATTCCAGGAACACTGTCTAATAGCCAACACATCAAAACTGATGGGACAATTCTCAAAAATGGAAGCTGCCTGAGAAATGCCAAAGAGATGCATTGCAATTATCATTAATGGGACTGGCAGAAATATCCCAGCTGCTTGCATTTCTCATGTTAAAGACAGGCCTCATTAACAGCATCAGCTCAACACCCACCAGCTTTGAAAGCATTAGCAATTTCTCCTCTCAGTTGGAAGAATCATAAAAAAGTGTGGCAGTTCTCACTTTACTAGTGTCAGATGAGTATGACTGATGTACAGGAAAAAAAAAGAATATGCATGAGATCCTAAGGCTTGCACCCGATTTTCATGCATCTCACTGGTTACTTCTGCTAATAGACTTCATTTAAGTAACAGATATACATGTATTGTTGAAGGCTTTCATGGCCAGAATCACTGGGTTGCTGTAGGTCTTTTGGGCTATATGGCCATGTTCTAGAAGCATTCTCTCCTGACGTTTCGCCTGCATCTATGGCAAGCATCCTCAGAGGTTGTGAGGTCTGTTGGAAAATAGGCCTACCTATCTGTGGGATGATGTCCATGGTGGGAGAAAGAATTCTTGTTGGCTAGAGGCAAGTGTGAATGTTGCAATTGGCCACCTTGATTAGCACTGAATGGCCTTGCAGCTTCAAAGCCTGGCTGCTCCATGCCTGGGGGACTCCTTTGTTGGAAGGTGTTATCTGGCTCTGATTCCACAGATATATAAATCTCACTTGCCTAGTTTCCCACAGACCTCACAACCTCTGAGAATGCCTGCCATAGATGCAGGAAAAACTTCAGGAGAGAATGATTCTAGAACAGTGGTTCTCAACTTGTGGGTCCCCAGATGTTTTAGCCTTCAACTCCCAGAAATCCTAACAGCTGGTAAACTGGCTGGGATTTCTGGGAGTTGTAGGCCAAAACACCTGGGGAACCACAGGTGGAGAACCACTGTTCTAGAATATGGCCACACAGCCTGAAAAACCTACAATAGCCCAATAGATATAAAATTGGAAGTGGGGGGATTTCTGAACGGAACAAGTATTAATTCTGCTTCAACATGCAGGGAGCTCCAAGAGGAGTGCGGACTGACTGTGGATTCTTTAGAAAAGACCGGCAAGATCACCTTTGAGTTCGTAGGCAACATGGAACTGATGGAAGTCCACATCTTCCGGGCTGACAGCTTCCAGGGAGATCCCACAGAAAGTGAAGGTAGGGATGAAGATGACAGCGGCAGCATGTTTTCTCCTCTTTCCTTGTACTTCACATCTCTTTGTACTCCAGTTTTTAATCGACACTATGGCTCAATGCTATGGAATCTTTAGAGTTATGGTTTTATGTGTTGTTGAAGGCTTTCATGGCTGGAATCACTGGGTTGCTGTGAGTCTTCCGGCATGTGTGGCCATGTTCCAGAAACATTCTCTCCTGACGTTTCGCCCACATCTATGGCAGGCATCCTCAGAGGTTGTGAGGTCTGTTGGAAACTGGGCAAGTGAGGTCGATATATCTGTGGAATGATCTCCAGAGTGGAAGAAGAAACTCTTATCTGTTTGAGGTAGGTGTGAATGTTGCAATTGGTCACTTTGATTAGCATTTAATGGCCTTGCAGTTTCAAGGCCTGGAATGTCCCACCGTGGACATTCCACAGATATATAAATCCCATTTTCCTCATTTCCAACAGACCTCAAAACCTCTGAGGATGCCTGCCATAGATGAAAGCGAAACACCAGGAGAGAATGGGTCGTTGTAGGTTTTTCGGGCTGCATGGCCATGTACTAGAAGCATTTTCTCCTGATGTTCTGCCTGACAATCTCTGAGGACCTCACAACCTCTGAGGATGCCTGCCATAGATGCAGGTGAAACGTCAGGAGAGAATGCTTCTAGAACATTCATACAGCCCGAAAAACCTACAACAACCCAGTAATTCCAGCCATGAAAGCCTTTGACAATACATCAGGAGAGAATGCTTCTGGAACATGGCCATACAGCCCAGAAAACTCAAAGCAATCCAGACTCTTGCTCACTTTCTTTCATTTAAAAAAGGCCTGTACTCAGCCTGAAGATGCCCAGGAAGCTCCCAAAAAAGCATGGAAATGCCCTATCAAGTCTTCCACAGTGGACCACCCTTGCTCAAGGATCACCCTTGCTCAAGGATCAGAACCCAGTGCTCCAGAAGAAGTGTCACACAGCAGATTATTTTGACCACTGACAAAAGGCAAATGGGAGTTACATAAAAACCAATGGTCTGTTTTCATCTTTAAGTATTCTTTCTTGTCTCCTCTCTTTACAGAAATGTGCCCGCAGTGGTTTGAACTAGACCACGTTCCCTTCGAGAGCATGTGGCCGGATGACATCTACTGGTTTCCCCTTCTGCTCCGGAAGAAGCGGTTCCATGGCTATTTTAAGTTACAGGGGCAGGACACGATCTTAGACTATACCCTGAAGGAGGTGGAGAACGTATAAAGAGGAGACTGAGAAGAACAGAGGCTGGATTTAAATCGTAGCCCATATTGGGCAAAGAGGCAAACAATGAAAGTTTCATACCAACAGCCCTCCTTATCAACTCCTTGCCAAAGGAAACGACTCTTTACACAAGTGGACACTGGGAAGACATTTGCAGGGAAAGAAAGGACCATTCTTGTAAATGCATGTTCATTGGCCTTGTTCTGGTGCTGTGGGGTATTCCTTTCTGCTTGGCTTTTGGAATTTTCCTAGCCTGTCTTAGTACATGGCATGATTTAGCTTTCTTCCAAATGCCAGATTTTATTTTATTTGTCGTGTCAGATCAACCAGTCAATTATGTTACATTTCTAACAGAACAAAGCAAACAAACAGATAAAATACAACATTTGTGAGTTTGGTAGTTAATTAAATGTCCTTTGACCAGTATCTGGCCACTTGGAGTGCTTCTGGTGTTGCTGCAAGAAGGTCCTCCATTGTGCATGTGGCAGGGCTCAGGTTGCATTGCAGCAGGTGGTCAGTGGTTTGCTTCTCCACACTTGCATGTCGAGGATTCCACTTTGTGGCCCCATTTCTGAAGGTTGGCTCTGCATCTCGTGGTGCCAGAGCGCAGTCTGTTCAGCGCCTTCCAAGTCGCCCAGTCTTCTGTGTGCCCAGGGGGAGTCTCTCATTTGGTATCAGCCATTGGTTGAGGTTCTGGGTTTGAGCCTGCCACTTTTGGACTCTCGCTTGCTGAGGTGTTCCAGTGAGTGTCTCTGTAGATCTTAGAAAACTATTTCTTGATTTAAGTCGTTGACGTGCTGGCTGATACCCAAACAAGGGATGAGCTGGAGATGTCTCTGCCTTGGTCCTTTCACTATTGGCTGCTACTTCCCGGCGGATGTCAGGTGGTGCAATACCGGCTAAGCAGTGTAATTTCTCCAGTGGTGTAGGGCGCAGACAAATGCTAGATGGAGCCAACTGATTTCAGTAGTTGCACTCTAACATCAGGACTAGCCTCATAACTTCCAAGTTAGTTATTATAGTGCTTGGCCAAGTTGGTGGCTTAGCTATTTTTCTTTCCCAGCAGTGGTTATGAAGCAAAGCTTTTCACCCCTGAACTTAAAAACATTTTTTATGAGAAACTCTTGTTGATGATTCAAAGAGATTGAGGAGAATGACCACTATGTTGTATCACAATGTCTTCTACTTCTAACTTGGAGAAAAAGACTGTATTCTGATTGGCCTTTGAGGCAGCTTGTATCAATGCTACTGAAAGCGGTAGACTATAGATCAGTGGTTTTCAATCTTTTTTTGACCAGAGACCACTTTGACCAGGGACCACTCTCCAACATTAGTAACAAAAGGGTTACAAATCAGTGTTTGGTCAACTTTAGATTAGGTTTGGTTATTTGGAGTGTTGATTCAGAAAATTGCATTGGATAGACCACATCAGCTCTAGTTTCTGATACAGAACATATGCCATCCAGTAGTCGCCATCTTCTCACCCACAAAAAACCATACTGAATAAGCCTTGGGACTATAAGAGGCTTTCGCGAGACTATTTGCTCTCATTGCAATGTTGAGGCTGTGGACCATATTTTAGTTCTTGCGGAGCACTGGTGGTCCATGGACCACAGGTTGGGAACCACTGCAATAGACCAATGCTGGTCCACAAGCCACTGGTTGCCAATGCATAACAAGTTTTCCATGTTAAAAATTGCTTTATACACTATTGTCTCTACATTCATAGCAAACAGGTGCCTGAACTTACTGTAGAAAGAGGAAACTGAGGGTAATAGCGATTGCTATTGACTTCTGCTAGTAGTTACCACTGAGTGTCACTGGAGGTTCGAGAAAAATTCCTAAAGAGTCTGATGCAGATAAGTAAACCTTCTGCTACTGCAGTGGTTCTCAGCCTTTCTAATACTACAACCCCTTAATACAGTTCCTCATGTGGTGGTGACCCCCCAACCATAACATTTTTGTTGCTACTTCATAACTGCAATTTTGCTACTGTTATGAATCGTAATGTAAATATCTTGATATGCAGGATGTACTCTCATTTACTGGACCAAATTTGGCACGAATGCCCAATACACCAAATACTGATGGGATTAATTTTGTAATTTGGGAATTGTAGTTGCTGGGATTTGTAGTTCACCTACAATCAAAGAGCAGTCTGAACTCCACCAACTATGGAACTGAATCAATTTGGCACACAGATTTTCCATGACCAACAGAAAATACTTGAAGGCTTTGGTGGACATTGACCTTGAGTTTTGGAGTGGTAGTTCACCATCCAGAGAGCACTGTGGACTCAAACAATGATGGATCTGGACCAAACTTGGCACGAATACTCAGTATGCCGAAATGTGAATCCTGGTGGAATGTGGGGACAATAGATCTTGACATTCAGGAGTTGCTGGGATTTATAATTCACCTGCAATTAAAGAGCATTCTGAACCCTACCGACGACAGAATTGGGCCAAAAGTCCCACATGGAACCCCCATGACCCACAGAAAATAGTGTTTTTTGATGGTCTTTAGCAACCCCCCTCATGACCTCCCCAGAGGTCTCAAACGCTGTCTTACTGGAAGTCATACTGCATATCGCATATGTAATGTAATGTATCGCATAGGTATATTGTAAACCGCTCCAAGCCTTAGGGGAGTGGCGATATATAAAACTGATTAATAAATAGATAAATAAATATCCACAAACATAAGAAAAAGTACCAAATTTGTAGAAGAATGGCCTTTTAAAGGAAAAAAAGCTGCTAAACAGTTACAACCACATAAGCAATTAAGTGGCGACTTAAAAGTGTTCAGTAGCCACGTAACAGTAAGTAACTCTTGAGGAAAAATCCTGGAAATACTGGTAGGAAGGTAAACATACAAACCAGAAAGACTTCACTCATCGAACTGTGGCTGAAGAGACCAAGCGCCACCCATTTGCTGTTGCAGACACAGTGATCAATAAACAAATGACACATTTACAACTGAAAAAACTTTCTCAATGTTTTATACAGGTTTTACAGATCTCTTAAAAATACATACTTTTGTAACATTTGATAGCATTTTTTGGGCATGTCATAACTCTGTAAACATTTCTTTAGTCTACCAGCTGTATTAAGGCATTCCTGCGGTTTAATAAAGTGCTCTGTTTTGTAAAAAATAAAAAAAAAATAGCAAGGCTACTTTTACAAAAGGGCAGAAGGCACGGCGTTGGCAAAATCTAAAAGGGAAAACGTCCCTCTTCGACTGGGGAGCGAGCTAAATCCAAGGCGAGGTTTAAACATTTGTTTGGCGGTTCTTCCACAAGGCATGCCGACGTCCCCGATTTCCATTGAAACAGCTCTCCCTCTTAAGACACAGATATTTTATGTATATATTCCCTTTAGGTCCTGAGTCCCTCAAAAGAAGTCTTAAGTTTTGCAGGGAGAGGGGTATCCATGCTAGGATGCCACCACCAAAACCACTAGGCATCTGGTGGTACTTCGCAAGTAGTATAAAAACGCCCAAAGCTATTGTTGGAATCACTGGGTTGTTGTAGGTTTTTCAGACTGTATGTCCATGTTCTAGAAGCATTCTCTCCTGACGTTTCGCCTGCATCTGTGGTAAGCAGATGCAGACAGGAAACAATCAGGGCCAGCTAAAACCTCCCAATAAAGGATTCGCCCCAGGCAGGAAGCAGCCATGCCTTGAAGCTGCAAGGCTATTCAATGCTAATCAAGTGATCAATTGCAGCACTCACACTTGCCTCAAACTGACAAGAGTTCTTTCTCCCACCCTAGACATTATTCCACAGGTATATAAACCCCACTTGCCTAGTTTCCAACAGACTTCACAACCTCTCAGGATGCTTGCCACAGATGCAGGCGAAACGTCAGGAGAGAATGCTTCTAGAACATGGCCATATAGCCCGAAAAACCTACAACAGGACCAAAGCATTTTGCCAGCTCCATCCACAAAGGACAATAAGCCATTTGTTTAATTGTTTCCTGATTTGCAGTATTTCTCCCTTTTTTTTGAACACCATTTTCCAATAGACCAATCCTCAATGGCTTTGTTTTTCACTGAAAAAACAATTCCCCCATTTTGAAGCCTCTTCTAAAGTTTCAAAACAATTAGCTTATCTGAATGGCTTTTTTTAAAGAAAAGAAAATTCCTTTTGTTCAGCTGAAACTGAAGAATAATATATAAAATATAACACTTTAAATCTCCATCATAATTTTTTTTTACAAATATTCTATATTAACATATCAAGGCAGCTTTTTTTCTCTATAGAAATGTATATTGTGTGGGCCTCTGAGCTGGTTTCATGCCAGTCGGTGTGTTGAAACACAGCCTGAGCTATCCATTTGGTCCTAAACAGGCAAATAGTTCAATGACAGAAGGGAGGTAGTCTTAGATTCCTCCCTGAGTCACCCCTGTGTCTAGGATAAGGTCATAACACAGTGGTTCTCAACCTGTGGATCCCCAGGTGTTTTGGCCCATAATTCCCAGAAACCCCAGGCAGTTTACCAGCTGTTAAGATTTCTGGGAGTTGAAGGCCAAAACATCTGGAGACCCACAGGTTGAAAACCACTGCCATAACAGTCATCGTGTACCTTTAAGTCATTTCCAACTAATGGTGACCCAAATCAGAGGGTTTTCCCATGTCTTCCTCTGAGGCAGAAGGAGTGTGACCCCCAATAGCTCAGTGGGTTAAACCCTTGTGCCAGCAGGACTGATGACCGACAGGTCAGAGGTTCGAATCCGGGGAGAGCGGGTTGAGCTCCCTCTGTCAGCTCCAGCTCCCCATGCAGGCACATGAGCAAAGCCTCCCACAAGGATGGTAAAACATCAAACATCCATGCGTCCCCTGGGCAACGTCCTTGTGGACAGCCAATTCTCTCACACCGGTTTATTGTCGAAGGCTTTCATGGCTGGAATCACCATCTGTTGTGAGTTTTCTGGGCTGTATGGCCATGTTCCAGAAGCATTACCTCCTGACGTTTCACCTGCATCTATGGGAGGCATCCTCAAAGGTTGTGAGGTCTAGTTTCTGTGAGTTTCCAAACTCTGAGGATCCCTTCCATAGATGCAGGCGAAACGTCAGGAGAGAATGCTTCTGGAACATGGCCATACTGCCTGGAAAACTCACAACAACCCAGACGTGTAGTTTTTCAAGTCACTCTTGACATGACAAAAACAAAAACAAACAAACAGTGGGTTGCTTGAGTTTTCCAGGCTGTATGGCCAGAAGCATTCTCTCCTGATGTTTTTCTCACTTCTAGGGTAGCAATCCGGAGGCGAGGTCTGCTGGAAACTAGGCAAATGAGGTTTATATATCTGTGGAATAATGTCCAGGGTGGGAGAAAGAACTCTTGTCTGCTTGAGGCAAGTGTGAATGTTGCAAATGGTCAGCTTG